CCTTAGGTGTACTTACCATTAATGAATTTATGATATGATTTTCTTACCCTTTAATGTGGAAAACTCGTCTCTGCTGATGAACGCAATGCGCCATTGCGTTTTTATCATTCCATCTACACAAACTCATATGAGTATTTGTATGATCCAATAGTACAACACCCGAAGAGGACATTACCATCACCTACAGTACCGAATCTACCTCAATTACAATTAAAATAAATTCTTTTCAAACGGAACATTTGTAGACTTTCAAATTAGTCAAAATGATCTCTCATCGGTACATAAGTATAGATATATGTTACATTACACATACACCATATAATAAAAATTAGTATATTTTAGAATATTTCAAATAGTCAATTGTTCACACGGACAATAGAAATATATATATCCAATAACTTGAAAACCTAAAAAAGTTCTTTTCACCCTTTTCCCAAAAAAAGTTAGAAATTCCACTCGTATTTTATATACATATTTCTCAGATTAATTATAAGAGTTAATTAAGCCCCACGATTGATCATCTCCATGTACTCATCCAACGATTTCTGCCTCTGCAGCTTCATCTCCTCGTTGAACTTCTTGATAAATGCCTCTACTCGCCGGTTCAACTCGTCGAGACTCGGCGAGTGCTCCTTTTGGATCGGTGGAGGGTCCTTGCGGACCCTTGGCTCCTTGAAACTCTTCGACTTCGACATGTGGTCCCGTCTGACTCGGACAGCTGGCTGCAGAAGCTGAGCCACCAGTTTTTTCCGAACTTCTTGAGGAGGGGCCGACTCATGGCCGGCTTGTGGGGCCCCCTCTTTAATTTTTTTCCACACATTGTCTAGAGTCTCGTCATGGGACTCCACCTTCGGCCTCCTCACTTCTAATATTAAAAAAAATTGTAAAACAATAATTAATTAGAAAAAATATATTTTGGCATAGAGGAGTAAACAGCAGGAGTTTTCAAATTTTAACGACCAAACTCGAGTCTTAACGAATTGTTCTATAAAAAAATTATATATAAATTCATGTATTCGATTCTTAACGAGCTGACATGTAGAACTTACACAAAAATCTTTATTTTTTGAGTTTTAATTAAATAAGTTAAACCAAACTCTAGCTTTAATAAATTGAGCTCACTTCACCAATGAATTTTATTTAGTTGATTATATTTAAATCTTATGAATAAGTTTCCATTAGGGGAGGACGACACAGTTACCTTTATCAATTTTGAATTGAGTGCTTAAATTAATTAGTATCTTACTATATGCCTACATGGTCTAATATCATCCATGATTATCCTTTAACAATTTTTTCTGATATTAACTTCCATTTAAATATTTTTTAAAATATATAAATATACCATTAAATCCATGCAAAGTTTAAAATGAAGAAAATTATTCAGATTTCCATAAAATGGATAGAGTTACCAAAATAAAAAGATGAAAATAATAAACATTAACAAAAATAACTTACTCTGAGTAGCGCTTTTGGTCATTCTCCGGTGACCGGACCTCACAGGTTTCTCTCTCACCGCAGGCACGAAGCACTCCAACTCAGCTACCGGAAAATTCCCCTCCGGCGATGGGGCACCGCACGCGCCGCCACTTCCTCCTCCTCTGACGGTCTCTTCCTCCGCCCGCCCGACATTGAACACCCTCAAGCCGTTCACTACCACGGGCCTCAATTCCACGACGACTTCGTCGCCGCCGTGAACCGCCGAAGACGGCAGCGGCGGCGCCTCCTCCGCTGCATACCTAATCGAGAATGGTGCCATATCGAGTTCCGCATCATCCGCCGCCGCCGAGAATCGCGCGAAGTACTCCGGCGGCGGGGTCCTAACGGAGATCAAGCCGTAGTGGGGTCGAAGGTGTGGCTCCGGCGGCTGGCTCCGGTGTCCGAACCTCGAGGTGACGGCGATGGTGAGGATTATGCCGTTGACGACGACGTATAAATAAGGAGGTCTGAGCCAAGGCAAAACGACATCGTATCGTACCAAAGGTGCGACGTACATAACCGTCGCACAGAGCAAAAGCAGTTTCACGGTTGAAATCCACGTGTCCATTTCCTTTTTCATTTTTGTTTTTTGAATTTATGATATATATATATTTTTCCTTTCGTCGAATTATGAGAGGGTAGGATTTATAAAGGCCTTCAGCGGCGCGATTTATGGGCCATAGCGCAAACTTTGGGCCTCAAGTAATGGGCTTATTTGTCGTTGATTTGCAGTGCAAGTATTAGGCCAGCACGCGTGGCAGTGGGTGATTTGAAGTGTTTTGGTGGACTAATTTGTGTCGCTCAATTATATGCTTATGTTGACTTGATGAGTGTAAATACAGTTGAAGTTGGTAGTTTTCTGTTATGATTTGCAATAATATGTCGTTTGGAAGGTTTGATTGACTGTCCCAATCCAGAGGCGGAGGCAAAGGTGGCGGGTAGGGCTATCCATACCATAAACGAATCATCCCTATTTTAGAAAATTTTTGTGAGGCCATGTTATGTATTTATAAATAAAATGCATATTTAATCTAAAAAATATCATAATTTTAATTGTTATTTTTTTCGCAATATGAAAGTACTTCAAAAATGATGGTTGTCTAACCATTAGGCCTCACCAACAAGTAGTTTTACTTTTTTATATCTATTACTATAATATAACATAATAATTAATAATTCATATTATACCCATAATAATTAATAATTCATATTATATATATCAAATACATGAAAGCATGAAAATCTTTGATTCACTCCCGTGGTTCGTTTCTGCTTATTTTTTTCCAAAACGCTTAACATAAAAGAAAAAGCGGGTAACTACCATTCATGCATTAATTTGTTAGATTAATTTATCAAGTGATTACTTGCCAAATATATGTTGGCAAATTTGGACGGTTTATTTTTGTAACAATACAATGAGGAGTAATTGATGTTTGCTATGTGTATTAATTTGGTAATTCAATCTGTTTATCAATATATGGATATGATAGTATAGAATGACTATATATGTTTCTATTTTATTACTATTTTTTTAAATGTTAAAACAATATCTTTAAAAATATCCTTCGAAAAATCCAACCATATTTTAATGTTATAGTAACTTTTAAGTGGACAACATTGATCATTCAATTTGTATAATAACTTTTTAGTGGTCAATATTGAGTCAATTATTCTGGACAAAGTATCAGTACTCTAGAAATTGAAGGATACATATTAGAATAACAACAACAATGTGGTGACCAAAAAGGAACAAAATAATCCATATTCGGACCATCCGTGTTTTTAGATTTGATATTGTATCGCTAAACATCTGTTTGTTTTAAACAAAATCTTTCAATTATAAGTTATACACAATGTTATATCATGGAAACAAAATAAATTAGCTAAAAAATAATAATTAACGCATGATAAGAAAAAATAAAGAGGAAACTAAATATCTAAGAGATTCGGAATATTTGATTAAATATAAAACATGCATGTTAATATTTTTTCCCTATGGAGTAATTAAACTTTTTCTTAATAGTTTAAAAATTTTGTATTTCATTTTTAGGCCGAATAAATAAATTTTGCTGCTAAAGTAATCATGATTGCAAGTAACATTTCTTATATACGTAACCACTAATCAAGTATGTTAACAACTATTAAAATTACTAGTGTGTACCCCGTGCGATGCATGGGAACAATATTAAATTAACAATATTATAAATAGATCTCGAGTTTGAGTCACTGACGGAAGTGGAAACTACTATTGATCCTATTTAAAAAGAGAAAGAAAAAAAAATAATTATAAAGTAAAGAGGTAGATAAACAATACTTAATAATTATAAATTAAAGATTCGGGGTCAAACAATGTAAAACTATTTTGTATAAGAAAATATGAAATTTACATTATTTTGTATTAGAGAATATAAAATTTGCATGTTTAATATTAAAAACACCTAAAATATTATATTAGTATATATGTAAAAGTATTCAAAATTTTCTATATTATTTTTGAAAGATGTGAAGTCTTCTACAACTTTTTTAAACAATTTTAGAAGGAAAACATATCTAAGAACATTTGAATTTAACATTGTGTAAAAAAGATTTTTCTACACTATTTTGTAAAGAAAATATGTCTATATTTAAATTTAATATGTGTATATGTACATATATATATGCGTATGTTCTGTATAGTTTTTTAGAGATAATAATTCAACACGTGTATTTGTTTTAGGAAATGAATAACAAACTTAATATCAGTTTTGAATAATATCTTCTCCTCATATGATTTTGTTTTTGAATCTTAAAATTATTCCCGATATCTTCTCTTTATAATACGATTTTTTTTCTTCAATTTATCGTTAAAAAAATATGTTTAAAAGGGTTACCATAAAAAAAATATGTGATAAGGATGCTTGTGTGAAATGGGATTATCTCGTTACTATAAAAAATTATGCGATAAGGACGCTATTAATGAGGCGTGCACTAATGTAAAAAGGACATAAATGATGAGCGTGTGAAATGGACATGATAAGGACGCTAAAAGGACATAAATGCTGAGCGTGTGAAATGGACATAATAGTTACCGATTTTGGAAAGTAATAAATGCAAAACTGACTTTGACCATTAATTAAGTTACTAATTTTGATAAATGTTAATTCTTATTATATAAGTATAGATACGACATTACACAGCATGCTACATGCTTATATGAACAATAAATTGATTATTAAGTATTATTTATTTTTTATTTTCTTTTGTAGAGAATTAGAGGTGACAGTCAAGTCAAGCTGATAATCGAACTCTTACTCGAGCATTTATCTCCTCGGCTTGTTATAAATAAATACCCAATGAAGTAGTTCGAGCGCGACTCATTTATCAATATTATAGAACTAAGTGCGAGCCTTGACGAGCTAAAATCTAGTCTTAATAAGCCGAGATATTAAAAATTACATAAAAAAAAAATAGCCAAAGGATATTTCCTAAATTTACATTTTTATTGCAGTATTGAGACATACAAGCATAATTTATATTTTTGAAGCTTAACTAGATGAGCTCGACTTAAGTACTCATTAACTAAACACGAGCTAAATAAAAGTATGAGCAGCTGATTTCTTTAATTAAAATATATATAGAGAATTCACGAAAAAACTGCTCTTAATTGTAAATCCAATTTTAAATGAAAGCCATAATGGCGCCTAATGCGCGTTCCCTGCACTGCGGTGGGCGCACCCCTCGACCGACCATCCAATCTTTTGGTTGAGCCGTTAAAAAGGGTTTTGATTTTCTAATTGGAAAATGGATATATATAATATATTAGACAAATTAAATTAAATGTTTATAATGATAATAGTTAATTAATCAATACTTTTACTCAGAAAATGAAAATTAAAAATATACATTTGCCCCACAAAAACGCGTACGAAAAAGGTCTCAAACGATGTCACCATTTTATCGTTATTATGATTATTATTTATTATTATTATTATTTTTATTTTCTTTTTTTAGTTGTCCCCCATTATTAATTAGTTTCAAAATTTGTGCAAGCCAACAAAAATCAATCCGTATTTGTGTATTTTCGGTAAATCGATTTAGTGGTGTAGCATGACTCTTGAATAAACGATTGAGGATTAAGAATGTCTTCAAAGACGTATAAATGACTCCAAAATTATGTGCACTTAGCTTCTTGTTTTCCGGCTCGTACGCCATGTAAATAGGTCTAATTTGTGTTTCACTTAATCTTTCAGTTATATAGTTATAATTGAAACATGCATATGAACGTTAAAATACATGATGCGGACAAAGCGTGACATATAATGCTTCTTCTGGAAGTAATCACATATATATCTCAATAGTTAATTAGTTAAGTGTCAACCATGTAAGACAACAACATTTCAAAAACTAATCATGTATGGGTTGTATAAAAACATTATCCCATTGGAACTTAGATAAATAAATAATTATTCCATTGGAATATAATTAATTTAATAACAATTTTTTAATCGAAATTTCAATTGGAGACATGCCTTGTCAAATTTAAAATTAGATGTTTAGAATTTCAATAACACTGTTTAATTTGTACACACCTCATAATTAAGTACACACACTTCATGAGTATGAGACTATTCTTAAAATTTCACCCTACAATTTGGATAAGCAGTTAGATATCATTTTTTCTAGTTTCTTGTTTCTTTAATATCCTTGACTAGGATAGTCCATGCATGATGCATGGACGGTGTTGAGATTAACAAAAGTCAACAATGTGGATAAAATACAGAGAAAAATGTCGGGTGTGGGCCCCTTGCAATCTTCAATGTCGTCCATTGTGGACAATTTTCATACATATGGTTGAATCTTCCAATATATAAGCGTATGGTTGAATCTTTTCATTGGTGGTTAACCAACCGATCATTACCGAACAAAAGTTTGTTCGAACTCGTTCATATTCGATTAGAACTCGCTCTTTTGTTAATCGGTCGAGTTCGAACATAAAATTAAGCTCGTTTAATAATCGGATGAACATGAGCTCATTCGCGAATGTTAGATAATGTTTACGAACATTAATTTATTATAATTTTTTTTGTATATTTATATAATAGTTTTAATAAAAAAACTTAAAATAAATATATTTTTTTTATCAAGTTCGAACGAACGCATTTAGAGTTAATCAAACAAATTAAAAAAGTTTATGTCCTAAATTATCCAAACACGAACGATCTTAAACTTTGACGAACGAGCTTGAACTTTGACGAACAATTAAACGAATGAGCTAGAACACGTTTTTTTACTCAAAAAATAAACGAACGAACAAATGAGCTAGAACACGATTTTTTGCTCGAAAAATAAACGAACGAACACGAACAGTGTTCGAACGTAAACAAACACGAGCTCAAAATGCGCAAGCTTAGCTTCGGTTTGTTTACAACACTACTCATACATAAAATAAGATTTAAGCATAGATGTTTCGTCTTATCAAATAACACTTTTATTAAAATTATAATTTGATATATATTGACTATTCATATATTTTTATTCTCTCTTCACTTTTATCAAAGATTACAGTCTCGTTTATGGAATCCTTCCGTCAAAATTTTTAACCGTTAGAGACACATGTAGATTAGTATATGATAGATAATCTACGGTTAAAATCCCCGACAAAATAGTTCTGTAACGTGACTGTAATCTTCCTCAAAATTAAATAGTAAAAATGAATTTTGCCACTCATCACATCATGCTTTTAACTTACAATTATTTGGATTAATTATTTACCTATATTTATAGTACATCTACTTCGCTTAATATATAACTCATCTCAAATCCACTCGCATTCTGAAAAATAATTGATTCTTTCATCAAATATATTTTCCACCTTCAAACTCATTTTTTCAATTGAGACAATTTCTCCCAATAAAAGAAAACTTGTTCAAACTTTCAAAATACTAGAACCTCCACAAATACCCAAGTTCTGTTATCACTATAATTCATTAGCAACTCAGTTTCTAACTTGTACCGTCTGAAATCAATTGGATCAAGTAAAGACCAACATATTTTTATCATCACAAAATAAAGACATGACAAATACTAATTAATGATATGCTCATCTTATATCAGTGTAGCATAGATACAAATCATGCAGAATAATCCCCGTCGTAATATTTATCTTCTGGATAATACAAAACAACCACACTGTTGCCTCCGAATTTCCGGCCACTAAGGGCAGCCTTTGCCTTGGTACAACCGGCAGCATCAGAGTATTCCAGAAACACCTGTAAATGTCTCAATGATATATCACAATGTAGGCTCTATATGAATGAGAGAGAGAGAGAGAGAGATGTCATGTGAGAAAGAGGGGGAGAGAGAGAGAGGTAATGTGAGAGAGAGAGAGCATACCTTCCCAATACCTTCATATTTTGTACCATCAGGGATAGGACGAGGAATAACAACATTAATTAGATCCCCTGCAATTTAAAAATGTTAGAACGAGTGATTCCCATTTCACATTTAATATTTTCTTCTAATTAATAAAAATTTGAAAACGTCTTATATCTTTGTCTTCGTTTTGAGTTATTCAATAACCGTTGGTCTTTGTCCCATATGATATGCCCAAGATAGGTCGATAATGTTTGGTTAAACAATCAAATTTACATCTATATAGTTTTCCAAAACTAATAGTCATTATAAAATTATTGTTTACACTGCACATACCAAATTTCTGGCATTCTTCCTTCATGTCTTCAAGTATTTCTTCATATTCTCCATCATTCATCAATTCCTCAATGGTGACAGCCTTGATGAAGCCAACACGGTATAATCAGAAAGTAAATAGATTTTTTCAACAATTGTATAGAAGGAAAGGTTTGAATCTGAAAGTACCTCAGTCAAGCACAAAATTTTGGTTGGAATCTCAACTTCCATTGTAACTATGGGATCGACTATGTGTAGAGGGTTATTCATTGATCCAACTCCCAGAGAAATTTTCTTGAACCAGGCAACAATTCGNAACATTGCTACACCCAGTTGTTAAGTTTTTACGGCACATATTAAGGAAAGGGTTGTATATCTACATTGGTTAGTTGTAAAATTAACACACATCAGAGTTGGTACAAAGAGTAAATTAGAAACCAAAAAAAAAGGGAGTCTACTTTTTGTATGAAAGAAATGTCGCACCTTATGGAAATTTTTTAAGAAGCAAAAATTGATAACTGGATATTAGTAAAAAGAATAACAAGGTGGCACGAACTAAGATTAGTCAAGGGACATTAGCATAAAACCTGCACCAGTGTATCAGTCTGCTCCGGTCTTAACTGTCCACTGCAAAAAAATAGTGATGTAACAAGTCAGAATGCCTTACACAAATGATAAAATAACAATAATAATCATAAACACAACACATTCCGATAGCAAGGAAGTAAATTCAGCCAATAATATTACAATAATATTGAAAACAGAAAATGCTCCAGTAGAAAATATCAAGACCATTCCTACCAATGAAACCCTTATATACTTCTGTTACCCACATATATAATGCAATAGACAGTTTTATGTTTTTAAAATAATATGTTTTGATAAGCAAATTACCACAAATATAAATAAAGCCTTATACTCTTGCATTTTGCGTTTTCAAAATTATGACAATGACAGTTAAAAGCATGAAGAAAGTAAGAAAGATCCAGCACAGCAAATCAGGATAGAGTTTAAATAGCTCGATAATTGAGAAGAAAATTCAACAAAATTCGACATTCAAAACCTTGTCAGGTACTGCAAAATTAACGGGCACATTATCATAAAAGGCTCACCTGATGGTGGCACGCCGAACAGTAAGCGTCTTATCACCTACTTTTAAGCCATTTAGAGCCGCACACGCAATATCTGTGACTGACGGATCCTGAATAAAACAAAATAGTAAGGATGTGAGCTAATGAGAGGTATGGAAGTAAAACATTTTAGAAAATCTGGATCCCAGTGAAAATAAATATAATTGTATTAAAAAGAACAAAAAAAAAAAAAGAATCTGCTTAGATGATAGAAAGGAGAAGTACAGCAGGTGGATACATTCAACAGGAAACTGTGGGACAAGAATGCATCACGGAAATCTTCGGGCTTGGATATAAGATTTCTTTATCTAGTTTGGATATTTTTGGTTTTGTTTGGTTAATTTTGAAAAATATGGTTGGTTAGTTGTTAGTGGGATTTTGAGTTTATATTAAACTAATATTTAAAATAAAATAATTAAAGTTGAATTGATGTAAATGTAGGAGAGGGATGATGTGAAGTGATGGTTAGTTAAAATTATGTGAGTGGAATGATTGATTGATATTATTTAATTATATTATTTAATTATATTGATATATTGAGGATTTAAAAAAAGTGATTGATTAAAAATGATTGGATTTTTTTGGAAAATCTTGTATCCAAACATGCTCTTACTGCTTTAAAAGCGTAACTTAAAGAAGACTAAGCACGACAGATGTTCTAGCACCAGCTTTTGCATACCTTGTAGATGCAGAATCCATATCCTTTGGAGTTTCCAGTATCTCTATCTTTAACAAGGTCAAGTCCTCGCAAAGGTCTGCGGAATTGATCAATTAGAACATATTATTTTAGAGATAATATTTCATACGAGATACAACAAAAATATTATGACGCAGACGAAATACAACAAAAATATTTCATACCCAAAATGTTCCAACAATTCTTTTATCTGAGCTTCAGAAAAATAGTAGGGCACCCCACCAAGAAAAATACGATCAGCTCCATCAGCTTCAGTAGACATTCTAATAATAAGACACCAAAAGAAAATTAAGTACTGTGTTAGAAAAACTACAGTGATAAATAACAAGTAATGAACAAAGGCCGAAGACATGAGAGAATCAATAGCATGCACTTGATCATTGGAAACACAAAAGCCCTAAGGTGCTGAAGCAAAGTTGGGGATCTGAACAATTTATGGAGTAATAAATTCAAATCCAAGCAGTTTGAAATGGACAGCCATGTGATAAACAGAAGAAAAGAGTCACGGTAGCTACCCAGGTGTCAGTCCAGCAGCAGCTAAATTCAGATATGGACCCGGTTGGCTAGGACCAAGGCATGCGGCCTGGGTAGGACTGTAGTCTGTAGGCCTTTTGACTCGCACCGAAACTCCCTGTTATTTTATTATTAATAAAATGACGAGCAATGAGAAATTTGGAGCTCAGATATTCACATGTGCCCTTTCAAGTTATGCTCTCTAGTAGCAAAAAATAAGTTTACTCTAAGAAAGATTAAATATCAAAACAAGAACAGTACAATCAAGCAGACCATAAAAATTCAGGCATGTGACAGCTATATCCATTCTTGAGCATACGTATTCTATAATATATAATGTAACTCCTGTTAAAGCTGAGCAGTGAGGCCTAATTAAACTTAAAACTAGGTATGACGATTCGGGTACTTGTGAGGTCGAATAAACCAACCTTTCACTAAATGTGAGGAAAAAGAAAGAACGAAACGAAACTGAGCATAAATCTTGGCCATCTGGAGGTAGTTATTTCTTGATAATTTCATACACAACTCCAGATAAGAAAATTAATGTCCAATTTCCAACAGACGTGTCATTTATATTATGGATAATCAATTATAAATAAATCCAAAATGCAAACCTAGTTCCATGTCTAGATAAAAAGATGTGTCATCTGCTTTATTTAATGGGAAAGATACCATGAAAGTTGCAACAAATTTGGGATTCAAAACAGATGGCACCAGCAATGACAAGGTAATGGGATAATGGTGGATAATTAGAACAACAAAGAAGGATGCTCAACAAACCTCAAAAGCAATTCCATCAAGCGCCATAGCGTTGCTTGCCTCTTCTACGGTTCTCATCTCCACAAATGCAAATTTCTTTTCATGATTAATGTAGACATTCACGACAGCATCACCTGACATGCACACATTCATTGATGCTTAGAAGAATAGAATAAAAGATTACAAGCATACAGTTTTGCAAAAAGTGTTGAACGATCACAGACCTGGACCAGCTGAGTTTCCACCAATAGCGTTCATAACATGGCTGAAAAACCTGGAGACTGTCTGCACCAATTGAAATAAATAAGAAACAAACTTAACTGAAAAAAGCATGCAACAATAACTTGAGCCGCCTATTGAACAGGCAGAAACACGATCACAGTAAACAAAAGTTAGTTTGAGGAGAGGACATGGAAATGACATGTGGATGAGTAGTATTGTTCCGAGGTTTATAGTCAAATATGCTTTAGGACGAAAAGTAAAAACAAGAACATAGATATGCCAAGCACAATTTAATAAAATGAAAGAGTAGAGAAATGAAAGAGAGGCTAGCAGCACAACACTTCAATGACAGAGAGGGGACGGTAATCGTGTACCTGCTCATTAGCCAGAGGAGGGAGGCCACCAACATACACTTTACGCGCAAACCTCGTTGCCTATTGAACGACATACCCATAGAAACAAGTAAGTTCTCGTTGAATTTAAGATAATAAAAGAATATACTAAGAATCACATAGTTACCTGCTGAATTACTTGAACTGGCAATGTTGAAACAGAACCTAACATGTTAACCTATCAAGGAGCAGAATGTCTCAAGTCATATTATAAAAAAGAAAAATGTTAACGGTGAGAGTAATATAATGAATTCAATAAACACCACCTCCCGATCTGGTATACCTGAGTTGTCTGAGAAGCAAGCATGTTTGGCAGCACTCCAGAGACTGATTGAGAAGCCACGGAAGCTCCATTTAATTGTTCTGGATAATTAAGATAATGAGAAATAAGATATCAGCCACAATGAACACGAGGAGGGATGAAAAAAGACATCTATTGTACCAACTCAAATGGAATTCAGCAGTAAGCCTCAGAGCCTGTAAACATACAAAATGGCCATGCTGACTCAATAGATCAGGTTATTGAAGACAGAAAGAAGGCCTATTCTTACCCAGTATAGTACACGAATCAGAATCTATAATATGAAATAATTTTCACCACTGCATTTGGCTTACACTTCAAGTCTACCAACTAACAACAGTTGTAGTGGAAGATGAAAAGTTCCTGCTACCGGAGCATCCATCCCTCTCAGTCTCTCAGACCCATGAAAAGCATGGCAGGACATCAAAGCCAAACATTGCTCTCTTAACGTAATGATGGCAAATCAACAACAACAAAAAACACACACAACAGCCAACAACATAATGATGATTTTAGTATAATAAGCATCAACCAACGAATGAAATATATAAGACCAAAATATTGAGATGCCATAAATATAGGTAAGAAAGCAATTCAATCAAAATGTATATAGACATGCTCACAGGCTAACCTGATGGATTTGTCATAACAGTAGTAACAGGTGGCGCCACATCAAAACCACTTGTAAAACCACTTGTTCGCTTGCTGAAATGAAATAAATTAGAGATAAAAAATTGTACATGTAATCAATAAATATTAATTTGGTGAACACGACATCTATACTAATATAAAAAGGTTGTTGGAAAAATACATAAATAGTAATTTTGACTTTTTAAATAAATATTTGACTTACTATAATAAGAAATGTTTTTAAAAACACATGAAATTAAGAAAAAAAGGAGCAAATCAAATTAATATACTGTTTTATTAGGAAAGTGCGGGTACATATTTTAAAAATGGATGTTACCTTATCTTTTTTTCTTTTTCTTAACCACTTTTCTAATCATTTGGTGAATAAATTTCAAATTAATTTTCTTGATAAAATTATCGGTGCATATTTTCTAATGGTTTGTTGAACGATCTCATTTTCCACACAATTTTGCCAAATCCAATTCTCACTATACTTTCAAAATAATATACTTATTACTATATAGAAAGCTCGATTTTCAAAATGAGATTAAATTTTAGGTGAATAATTCCGATAAGTTTTATTTGGTAAAAACGCGTGAATATAGCATGATAATTTGTATGTTTGGTAACATCTTATTTGTGTTTTCGTCCAAAAATATTTAACAAAATTTGTAATTTAGGAGCAAATATTTTATTTTGAAACATCCATACCATATTTTTTATAACATTCAATTTAGACAAATAGAATATTTAATTTTGAGTAAGAATAATTTCAATTCAAATAACGCATCAATACAGTCTAAACTGAAAATGTACAATAATATCAAAAATAATTTGATATGGAAATGCATCAATACAACCAAAATATAAAAAATTGATCTTTATTTTACATGGCAATATATATCATTCCAATATTCACCATAAGTTAATGCAAATATGAAAAAATATTATCAAATATACTTATCAATTATTTAATGAGATATTTTAATATATAAATATTAGTAAATATTTCTTAACCGTGCATCGCACGGGATTCCTACTAGTTATAACTAAAAGAAGGCAACTCAAATAAGATATATTGCTGACAGGCGATTAGAGGAATTAAGGAAACTTGAGACGATAACACATTTGAAGTAGTGATATCAGTTTTATTTGTACATACAGCATAATTGACGAACAATGTCATAGTGCACTAAGAAGCGTTATCCGGAAAAAACATGCTATTTATAAACTACAAACATAAGACCATACATAAACACGAAAACTGGTGATCACAAAATATATTATACATTTAACTGAAGCCATCGAACATACTTCAAGAACAAGGTAGGCTTCATGAAATGTGGCGTACCTAATGGGTTTATCATCCGATCGGCTCGGTGACCTCCGTCTATGGTGGCTTTCTCTATTTTTACCATGCTTGTGACACCTGTACACCATGCACCACACAAAATAAGAAATCCTATGATACTTGAGACAAAAGCATGCTAAATTATCACCAATAATTAGTTAAAAGCGACTGAAGAACAAAAAAAATAAAATATAAAATCCAACGAGCCAGCTGCTCATGTTATTGACGTTGCTCGAGCACAAAAGTAAATTCCAAAACTAAAAACAACCTGCTAGATTCACGATCTCCTCTACTTCCATAATCCTCATCACTGCATCTTCTCTCACGTTTTCTTGTAATCGCCCGTTCATCTTGCTTTTGATGTTGATGTTTCTCAAAATCTCCATTCCTCTCTTTATTCCTGAATTCCTTGTCATCCGAGTTGCGAATTTTATGCTGCACGATCAAGGATACAAGTCAGTGATTCCACATGGCATAAAAAAAACCTATAAATTCAAATTCAAAACACCCCGCAAGAGGACAAGTTTACATGAAAGTTGAAACATTGGCAATCAACCATTCCCAACAGAGATGAAATCCTTCTTATAAGCGTAGTATATACATATTTCACAAAACGAAGACAGATTAAGAAAGCAGATGTTGTATGACTACGTTAATGAATTATTCTAGACGTGATATAGTACAACGTCAAACTCTCTAAACAGTTATATAAGACTTAATAGAACATAATTCACCTACAAACCAGCTACAACCTTTTAGTAATGGAAAATCGACGTAAACACTCGAACTATAAACAAATTACAGTAAAACCTGATGATGGTGACGGGAGCTCCGATCGTTCGAAGAATCATATGGCGGCGATCTCCTCCGATCATCATATCCACCGTGACGAGTCATCGGAAACCCGCGATTGCTGGTTATAGGTTAACGCTGGTGATCGATTTGGCCCTAGATGATGAAACGGTGTCGCAGATCCGGATAAATATCTTCCGTCTCTATCTTTTCCTCTCTCAAGTCTTAACCCAACTTGTTGCTNCGATAGGAATTTTATAACTAACACAAATAATTACAACTAGAGTACGGCCAAAAGCCGAATCTAGAGAGAGGACATCCCGGAGGAGCCTAAATACCACAATGCACCCACGATAATAAAAAAAAACTCCTAACAGGAGAATCTAGATCCCACATGGGATAATAAAGTCTAACTCCCAACAGGAGAATACCTACCTCCCAACAGGAGAATCTAGATCCCATACGGGATAATTACCCTAACAAAAGAAAAAGAAAACACAAACAAACACAATCACAACACAAAACACAAACCCAAAAAACACAAAAAAAAAGTAAGAGCCCTTCCCACGAACGGGCTAACACACCGGCCGAAACCCAACGGCAACACCACGATCAACCTCCAACCGGCCGGACCACGGCCCGAGTTTCAACACCAGAAAATGCCAATCACGACCTAACTAGAATCGAAACACCAAAACCACGACCTGCGCCTAGGCGGCCAACCACAACCCCTCAGCCGGAGGTCAGACGAACAGCCCACCCCACACCACACAACCACCACCCCAAACCGAGCCACACCACGGCCAGGCCCGGCGCAACGGCCGGCTCTTCTTCCCAAACACCAGGGGAAAAAGAAACCGAGGAGTAGGCAGCCACCGCCCTCCGCCCCGACCACCAACGCAGCAATCGGAGCCGCAACCCACCCCCAAAGAACACCACAGCCCTCCTCCGCCTTGCCGCCATGGAAACCGGCAAAATCGTCTCGAGATGGCAGCCCTAATTCGCTGAAGACCACTCGGGACCGACCGACTCCAAAAACTTGTTGCTATTTAACCAAATAAAATTGCTCCTATATATAATTCGTAATTCCGAATGCGCTGAATTGGCAGGTTCGTGTGCTTATTTGAAATAAATTGATACTTCGTAATGACTAGGGCTGCGAGTCGAGCCGAGCCGAGCCGAGCCAAACATTGGTCTTATCGAGCAAAATTGATTTAGTCATTTTGGTTTGTTGTTGATTTTGGTTTCGAATATCTTATATCATATTTTTTTCAATTTATATCATATAACTACTTTGTAGTTAAGTTAGTTTAAATAATTTTTTTTGTATTAATATTAATAAGTAATTTTATTTTAATTATAAGATAAGTGAAATTATATATTTATCTTGTATGTATAATATAGATTTCAAATCGAAACTCATCAAGACATGATTAATTTGATATATTATATATAAAAACTTGTTAATAATAATAAAAATTATTAACTTTTAAATATATTTATAATTTAAGTTAGTAAACTTGTTATATTTTAAAATAAAGATTGGAAAAAAATTATACCTTATAAATGACGTCTTCAATAGGAAATAGGATTAAAACATAATTCTTTTAAAAGTGGCCATAAATATCAAGTATATTTATGGATGTTCAAAGCCTAGTTACTTTTGGATTAGAAATAAATTAAAATTCATCAAAGCTCCAACACCAAAGCTTAAAAATTTACCACATAGAATTTCGAAGCGTGCGAATCTTCCATTTAATCTCAGCACATTCGTGAATTATAAATAGGGAGATTATTTTAATCTTTCACCAATCACCAAGATTATGGAATGTGAAATTGTGGACAGGTTATGAGTTGCGAGATTTGTTCAGAATTAAATAAATATTTTCTTTACTCCATGTACTCTCATATGTTGTAAATGCATTTTCTTAATCAAAATTCTGAAAACCATTTTCCTTGTCGATCGCCACAGCCGATCATTCTTGTTTCATTTTCTATGCATATTCATTTTTGTAAATCTAGTCGTATTCTCTCCAAAATTATTGTAATTAATTATACCATTAACATATCGTAACACTCGAACAAACTGCTTAATTTATATCAACAATAACCATTGGTATTTTAGCGTCAACAACATTTATTTCCCATGCGATGCACGAGCCACGTTTGTTTGAAAGCCAATATAATGTCTTGAAATTTTGGGCCTGATTTGGTGTAGTTCTGCTAAAGCCCAAATTTTGGTACTTGTCACTTGAATGGGCGCCCAATACTCTCTGCTCCACATAATGTTGGCCCATTGAACCACCCTACGATCAACAATCCACAAAACACGTTACAGCGCACCACCTTAAAAACATAGCAAATGGATCATGGCTGTGCCAAACATCATTCTACCCAATTCATTCTCCCGGCGAAAAAGGTAAACCCTATCCCGCTCACTCACTCACTCTCTCTCTCTCTCTCTCTCTCTCTCTCACACACACACACACACACACACATACACACACGACCTCTCTCTCTGCTGAAGGCGAAAGTCGAGAAGCGACGCCGGAGACAAGTCCTGTACGGCCGTCAAATCACACGATATCACACTCTGTCGCAGGACGTGTATGGGACACGACCGAGGCTAATCGCGACCAAAATATCTTTTCTTATTTTGCTAAGTTCTTGTGATTTTTACAGAACAATTTTTTGCTTGCCAAGTAGATAGATCTGAAATGAATGAAGATGCCTCTTCTTTGCTTCTCTTATTTGTTGTTTTACGTGTTTTGAATGAATCATCATAATCTTCAGATGTCCTTGTAAAGCTTATCCAAAAATTATGAAGGGTGAATAAGCACCTTTCAACACGATTGGTTTTACTTTTAGTTTATTTATTTGTGGTAGGTTACGAAATAAACCATTTTTTTTTACAGGAATCCAGCACCATGACAATTTGGCGCACAATATTCCTTCTTCACGCAAAACATTTATGGTGAGTAATTCTTTTGCAAAATAATGTATAGTATGGTAATTCATGAGTTGATTGTTCGCCTCTGCATTACAATTATTATCTTGTTGACTTGAATTTGTGGACCTTTGGTGTAGGGAATCTCCTCGTACCTATGTCTTTTTACGAAGTAAGATTGTTTATGTTAAGTGTGTGTGATTGTGTGTGTGTCTCCTTCTCAAATTAATCTATCCTCGTGATCTTCTCGTTAGGAAACTTAGGTTTCTGCTTAGCAATGCCTTTGGGTATGTATTGCGGCTTGTCGTACATGTGAGTGATTAACTTTTTCTCCAACCTGACCATTGTTCAACTTACTCTCTTACCTCTCGCACTAATTTCTTTGGCCTTTTCTTTTTTCATTGACTAATTTGTTTTATTTCCTTGGATTACCTTATCAACTGCAGCATGGATTTTGATGGTCATCGGTATGTAATCTTATGTCCACTCCATGTTAGTTNAATGTTCGAATTTTCTTTTGTTCTTTATCTCTATCCCATATGTACAAAGTCAATAAAATATTTTCTTCTGCAGTCATTGATCTTTTTCCATCCAAATTCTTTCTTGATACCTCCCGAGGAAAATATTTTCATCGGATCCCAAATTGGATATTATTGTGCCTTTAGTTTTCTTTTTATAATGATTATCAAACATTTGTATGTGAAATTGTGTTGGTCTTATTTACACTTTTTCAATAGAATTTCAAAGTTATCATGTTGTTTGTTGTTATTGCAGTGAGGAAACAAAAAAAGCAATGGGTATCATGAGGGAGAAGAGGTCAGCGTAAATGATTTATTTCCGCTTGGACATTCTCTGTTTTTAAATAGAATTTCAAAGTTATCATGTTGTTTGTTGTTATTGCAGCGAGGAAACAGAAAAAAAAATGGGTGTCATAAGGGAGATGAGGTTAGCGTAAATGATTTATTTCCTCTTGGACATTCACTGTTTTTAAGTTGACGAGGGTGCTGTTGGTTGTTTTGTAACTGATGTTTGTTGATAAACTATTGGCAGGGAGCAGGTGGAGCATCTTATGAGGTATGCACCTAATTAATCTTATACCACAACAATTATAAAAATACAAAACATAAAGCCTCACTACAATGGTTTTGACTCTAAGCAATCATGCCTTAGAATACATGAGAGAAACTTGGTCACAAGTCTATTCTATTAGTAGTTTTTTTTTTTGTTTTTCTCTATGTCGGTGTGTTTATTAAAACCATCGTAGGAGAAAAGATAAATAATGATGTGTTTGTAATTAGGGGGTGTGTAACAATTTCGATGTCTATAGGATGTTCATTAGTCTTCCGGTTAACAGAATCAAACAACTCAAAAACAACATTTCAAACCCCTGGAATGAAACCACAAATAACAGTAGGTAAACCTTAAAAACAACATTAGAATCAAAATGTGTATTATACATTTAACTGAAGCCATCGAACATACTTCAAGAACATGGTAGGCTTCATGAAATGTGGCATACCTAATGGGTTTATCATCCGATCGGCTCGGTGACCTCCATCTATGGTGGCTTTCTCTATTTTTACCATGCTTGTGATACCTGTACACCATGCACCACACAAAATAAGAAATCCTATGATACTTGAGACAAAAGCATGCTAAATTATCACCAATAATTAGTTAAATTATCATCAATTGACTAGGTTTGATGTGCCATTTGAAATTCTTCAAAATAATGTCAAATTTGTTTAATGTATTGAAATCATCTAACTTTTGTTTTCATTCAAACATGTGAGGATTTGAACTTTAAAATTTGAAGTTCAAATTCATTTACAAATTCTCATTGCAAATGGAGTTTAATAGTAACTAGTCTCAAATTCAACAATGGGGACAAATTAAAATGGAACTTATTTGAAGTTTTACTATTAATAATAACTAGCTCAATAAAATAGTTTCACATCTTCTATAAATTTACACTGAAAATTTAAGGGCAAACGGGATAACCTGAATATGAGTGTGTACAATAGTATCTTTGAGGGAGGAAGGAACTACTAAGTACTGTGATTTTCAAGAGCACTAGAGTTCCACAATTTGGAGGGTGTGTTTGGAGAGGGCTGCTGCTTTGTTACTTGAATAGTGGAAGTGATAATTGCGTGTGGGTACTAGGAAGTAGTATTGGGGTATCTTTTTAAACTACAAACATAAGACCATACACAAACACGAAAACTGGTGATCACAAAATATATTATACATTTAACTGAAGCCATCGAACATACTTCAAGAACACGGAAAAACATGCTATTTATAAACTACAAACATAAGACCATACACAAACACGAAAACTGGTGATCACAAAATATATTATACATTTAACTGAAGCCATCGAACATACTTCAAGAACATGGTAGGCTTCATGAAATGTGGCATACCTAATGGGTTTATCATCCGATCGGCTCGGTGACCTCCATCTATGGTGGCTTTCTCTATTTTTACCATGCTTGTGATACCTGTACACCATGCACCACACAAAATAAGAAATCCTATGATACTTGAGACAAAAGCATGCTAAATTATCACCAATAATTAGTTAAAAGCGACTGAAGAACAAATAAAATAAAATATAAAATCCAACGAGCCAGCTGCTCATGTTCACAAAGGTAAATTCCAAAATTAAAAACAACCTGCTAGATTCACGATCTCCTCTACTTCCATAATCCTCATCACTGCATCTTCTCTCACGTTTTCTTGTAATCGCCCGTTCATCTTGCTTTCGATGTTGATGTTTCTATAGAACAAAAGTAAGCAGGACTAGTATATGACTAGAGATGTAGATACAAAAGTAAAGCATTCTTGTGTAGTTCTCAAGCATGTAGCTACGAGTTAAATTTCTACTCTCACCGATGCAAATATTCAGAAATATGCAATGACTATGAAAATATTCAGCAATATGCAATAACAAAGTTCAAGTGAATTTGTATGCATGCATTCAACACAAGTGAAAGTACACAGGTGATGTAAGATGATGAATCATTTTGTTATTGTTTTTTGTTTCATTAAGCAAATTTTTTCAAGAAAATTAAAAAAAAAAAAGGTTTAAGACTAAATTAGTAGGTGCCTACGTCCTATAAACATTTTTTTAAGCACAAATTCTTGAGGATGAAGTCCAAATTTTCATTTTCAACAAAATGCATATTTATGCAAGTTATTCATAGTATATTAGTCAAACATGATCCAAAACCAACAAGCATGGGCCAATGATAAGAACAAAGCTGTGGTTTCAACACCACTCAACAAAGTCCCAAAAAAAAAAAAAGGTAAAAGTTACTAAATTTTGTTAATTGCAAAGATACAATGTTCACAATCAAACTATCCAATGACAAACACAAACCACAAATCAACTAACAAAAACTTTATTGGCACTTTTATAATAAATAAAATAATAAAATAAAATAATAATAATAAATTTAATTATATGATAATTATATTTCTAAGAAACAAATAACTTTACACCGAGTAAAAAATAACAAACTAGCTTGGATAGGAAATAGAGAATTACGATGCAACGATTAAATAGGATAGCATAATACAGTAATTTCTTTTTCAAATAACGAGACATGATTTGATTTGATTAGATTAGATCCAAGGAAAAGTGTAAATTCGGTCTTAGTCTTAACAAGTGACAAGCTTTGTTAACAAACGAAACCGAAATAACAACCAAAGATAGATAAACATAAATCCACTAACATATTTCCAAACTCAACTCAAGCAGGCGCAGCCTCTGCGCCCTCTTTCTTGCCCTTCCCTCCAGCTCCAGCGTCTCCATCATCTCCAGACTCCTTCTTTCTGGCATCTCCATCTCCTCCACCCTCCTCTTTCTTTCCCTTCGCAACCACCTTCATAAGATAATTTTAAAACATGAATAGAATACAAAAATAGACATAAAAATATAATTTGCAACAGATCTACTTAAATCTACTAGATCTAATTAAAAACTTACCTGATGCAGCATCTCCATCACCCGCTGAAAATGGGCCTCAAATTCCGTTCGCAGCTTCTCGCAATTTTCCTTCTGGAGCCAAACTTAATTAATTGCATCCTAGGGTTGGTTTGGCTCCAGAAGGAAAATCGCGAGAAGCTGCGAACGGAATTTGAGGCCCATTTTCAGCGGGTGATGGAGATGCTGCATCAGGTAAGTTTTTAATTAGATCTAGTAGATTTAAGTAGATCTGTTGCAAATTATATTTTTATGTCTTGTTGTATTCTATTCATGTTTTAAAATTATCTTATGAAAGTGGTTGGGAAGGGAAAGAAAGAGGAGGGTGGAGGAGATGGAGACGCTGGAAAGAAAGAGTCTGGAGATGATGGAGACGCTGGAGCTGGAGAGAAGGGCAAGAAAGAGGGCGGAGAGGCTGCGCCTGCTTGAGTTGAGTTTGAAAATATGTTAGTGGATTTATGTTTATCTATGTTTGATTGTTGTTTCGGTTTCGTTTGTTAACAAAGTTTGTCACTTGTTAAGACTAAGACCGTATTTACACTTTTCCTTGGATCTAATCTAATCAAATCATGTCTTTTTATTTGAAAAAAGAAATAACTGTATTATGCTATCATATTTAATCTTTGCATCGTAATTCTCTATTTCCTATCCAAGCTAGTTTGTTATTTTTTACTCGGGTGTAAAGTTATTTGTTTCTTAGAAATATAATTATCATATAATTAAATTTATTATTATTATTTTATTTTATTATTTATTATAAAAGTGCCAATAAAGTTTTTGTTAGTTGATTTGTGGTTTGTGTTTGTCATTGGATAGTTAACAAAATTTAGAGAATGAGAGGATTTGCAAGGTTAGGAGATTTGGGGGACCGAAGAATGTGGGTGGGTGTTGAGTATTTATAGAGGAAAAATAGTAGCCCTAGGTATTTTCTTATAATTATATGTACTAATAAATCTTACATGTACACAGATCACCTTAACTTTTTGGTATTATAAATGTACCTAAAAGCCGTTAATTATTTGCATCATCTTATAGGTGACGATCGAAGAATAACAAGGTGACGATCGAAAAATTGATAACTGGATATTAGTAAAAAGAATAACAAGGTGGCACGAACTAAGATTAGTCCAGGGACATTAGAATAAAACCTGCACCAGTGTATCACTCTGCTCCGGTCTTAACTGTCCACTGCCAAAAAATAGTGATGTAACAAGTCAGAATACCTTACACAAATGATAAAATAACAATAATAATCATAAACACAACACACTCCGATAGCAAGGAAGTAAATTCAGCCAATAAAATTACAATATATTGAAAACAGAAAATGCTCCAGTAGAAAATATCAAGACCATTCCTACCAATAAAACCCTTATATACTTCTGTTTCCCACATATATAATGCAATAGACAGTTTTATGTTTTTAAAATAATATGTTTTGATAAGCAAATTACCACAAATATAAATAAAGCCTTTTACTCTTGCATTTTGCGTTTTCAAAATTATGACAATGACAGTTAAAAGCATGAAGAAAGTAAGAAAGATCCAGCACAACAAATCAGGATAGAGTTTAAATAGCTCGATAATTGAGAAGAAAATTCAACAAAATTCAATATTCAAAACCTTGTCAGGTACTGCAAAATTAACGGGCAGAGAAAAAAGTGTGGATCGAATTCAAAGTTCAAACAACTCCTTTTCAGCTGGGTTGGCAGCAAAAAGGAACAAAAAAGTGTTTGTGTTGTAGAACTGCAAAAAGCTCCACTTATCTTTCAATATTACTAAGAGGCATAAAAAAATAAAATCCCGTGGAGCAATAAAAAATGAAATTCACAAATGAAAATACTGAGATATCCAAACAGTACTTAAAAAAACTGGAGATCATAAAACCAATTTTATTCAAGCATAAAACCAGAAACTAGATCTGGTTCCCAACAGCTAGATTCATTCAAATACTTATAACCCCCAACAGCTAAATAGTAACTTAAGAAACCAAATAGATCTACTTACTCTCATAATACTCAAAAGCTAGATATTACCTTAATAAACCGAACTAGATTTTCTTACCCCCTCTCCTCTGCTGCCTTTGAATTGTCTAATTTCAGCCTGGATATCAGTCATCCTCTTGACACCTTGTTCCCGAGCTGAGTTCCTTTCAGCGGATAAGAAGGATAAGTAGGTAGCTAAGGGGACTCAGCTCGGAGAACAAGGTGTCAAGAGGATGGCTAATATCCAGGCTGAAATTGGACAATTCAAAGGCAGCGGAGAAGAGGGGTAAGAAAATCTAGTTCGGTTTATTAAGGTAATATCTAGCTTTTGGGTGTTATGAGAGTAAGTAGATCTATTAGGTTTCTTAAGGTACTATTTAGCTGTTGGGAGTTATAAGTATTTGAATGAATCTAGCTTATGGGAACTAGATCTAGTTTCTGATTTTATGCTTGAATAAAATTGGTTTTATGATCTCCAGTTTTTTGGAGTACTGTTTGGATATCTCAGTATTTTCATTCGTGAATTTCATTTTTTATCGGGATTTCATTTTTTTATGCCTCTGGTAATGTTGAAAGATAAGTGGAGCTTTTGCCAACAGCACAAACACTTTTTTGTTCTTTTTGCTGCCAGCCCAGCTGAAAAGGAGCTGTTTGAACTTTGAATTCGATCCACACTTTTTTCTCTGCCTTCTTCATTTTTTAAAATTTTATCCCTTTTTTATCAGTTGCAAATCTCAATTCTCATGGCGAAAAAATCCAAGCTTTTGATCTATGAACACAGCTAAAAAAAAAAAACACCTTTTCTGCTAAAATATATGTTGTGTGGCCGTCCCGATTCCACGGATAGACTCATTGGCAGCGGAAGCTTCTCTTGAGCTCTACAGGTCGCTTGTTAGCCCTCTCGACTTCCAGGTGCTGCTGCTCGTCTACAGTTGGCTCCCTAACTACTGTCCAAGCTCCCGGGCTGATTCAATCAGCTTCTTTCAGGCCCGTTTTCAGCCCGTTTCAGCCTACAATCAAATACACGATTAAGTTCTAATGAACAACAATAATCGAATAGATAATACACTAAGTACAAATATGATAAAGGCTGAAAATCGAAATAAAGGAGAAGAAATGGTAAAACTCCCTTTCGACGACGACTGAAGGAGAGGGACACGAAGTCGGCTCTCCCGGCTCAGATAGCCCTTGAGCCCGGCACCCTCGGTAAGTAGCGGCTCTGCGGTGGCCAACAAACGGCGGCCCCGGTTCCTCAGCCCTTCCTCGGAATGCACCTTACTCACGAGCCCCGCACCCGGTCCTCTGTCGCAATGCCCCTCCTCTCTCTAAGAGATTCACCGGAGGCCCTACACAAGGACTTTGGCCGGCGGGTTGAGCAGAGCGACAGTGACGGCACAAGGGCTTGAAGACGGCAACACTCACAGCGACAAGACGATGGTTCTCTTGGCAAAAGGTCACGAAGAAGGTACATAGGTAGAAATCACGTTTCTTTCACACAGAGAGAAAAGGGAGAGGGCCTGTGCGAGAGAGAAGAGAGCAAAGTGTGTATCGTCTGTAGGCGGAGAGATAGAGATAGGTTTATATAGTGTGAGTGAGTGGCTGGGATTAAACCCCTTAAACCAACGGTATGGATTAATTCGGGTAAGTGAGGGCCAGGCCCAGACAAGATTTGGGCTGGGGCTTCCTTGGGTCTGAGATTTGGGCCAAATTTCCAACAATATACAAACAATGAGAAATTTCATTAAGTCACTTTTGTCTTTCCATTTGCAGAGCAGCAAGAAATCCTTCTACGCCCTGATTTCCATTTTCTCCATTTGTCTGCTAGCTTACAACAGCGCCAGCATATTCTGCACGCGGGTCCCTATCCCGGCCAAAATCCCGCCGGAGCCAGCCACTTTCGACCCGGAAATTGTCGCCGGAAAATCAAGAAAGTTCTTCTCTTAACCCTCCTCGGCGAAGCTCTCGTCCTCCGCCCGCTACTCGGTCAGGGACGAAGCCCCGGCCGCAAAATCGGCAGCCCATCTGCATAAAAATCGAAACTTGGTGGTCCCCACGAGCGAAAAACAAAAGGGGCAGAATGGGTTCGAAGCTAGAGTTGGGGATTTTTTCGCCGGCGGCTGCAAGCTGCGGTTCTTCATGACTTGGATTTCGTCTTAATCGGATTCCTTTGGGGAAAGAGAGTTTTTTGCCGTGACAAGCTTGTTCAAATCCCACCCAAATGTGCGTTGTTTGATAAAATCTGAAGTACAGATTTGAGATCTTAGAGAAAAGAGAAAAGAAAGAACACGAGAGATAAAAAGGGAAAACAACTTGCATAAAATCTGAAAATGACAAAGTGGGAAAATGAATTAGGGTTTGACCTATTTATACTGTGCTAAGAATGAGGACCTAAAATGCTACTACTATGTACATAAAACGTGTTTCACAATAACACTATTAAATAAATGATAAAATGCCATATTCTAACACCCCCCGCAAGAGGAGCATGGATATTCATCATGCTCATCTTGGAAACAATGGTCTTGAAAGTTTGAACTCCAAGGGGTTTTGTAAAAATGTCTGCCACTTGGTCTTGTGAAGGTACAAATTGCAGTGCAATTTTGCCTTGTGCCAGCTTTTCTCGAATGAGATGACAATCTATCTCTATATGCTTTGTTCTCTCATGTTGGACAGGATTATGAGCTAGGGCTATTGCTGATTTGCTATCTGAAAAGATAGTAATAGGAACTGAATGAATGATATTAAAATCAGCAAGTAAGTATAACAACCATTGAGCCTCACAAGTAGTTGAAGCAAGGGCCCTATACTCAGACTCAGCAGATGACCTACTAACAGTTTGCTGTTTCTTAGATTTCCAGGAAATTAAAGAATTACCAAGAAAGAAAGCAAAACCAGAAATACTCCTTATAGTATCAACACAACCAGCCCAATCACTGTCTGAATAAGCATGTAAAGATAAAGAAGTTCTTGGGTAGAAAATACCTTGGCCCACAGTGCTTTTAATATACCTGAGCACCCTGTGTGCAGCTGATAAGTGTTGCTGGGTAGGTGCAATGAGATGCTGACTAAGTGCTTGAATGCAATAAGAAAGGTTAGGCCTAGTAATGGCTAAGTAAAGTAATATGTCAATAAACTGTCTATATGACTTTGCATCAACACATTGAGAGTTATCAGAACAAGTAGCAGTAAGCTTTGAATTTGAATCCATAGGAGTTTGAGCAGGTTTTGAATCCAAATATCCAGTGTCATGCAAAATATCCAAGGCATACTTTCTTTGGCAAAGATTTATACCTTTTTCAGACTGAGCAACTTCAATACCAAGCATGTATTTAAGTTTTCCCAGATCTTTTATAGTAAAGCAATCATGTAAATGGGACTTAACAGAATTAATCTCAGTCAAATCATCACCAGCTAGAATAATATCATCAACATAAACAAGTAATGCAGTGAAAGAACCATGTTTATTTTTTATGAATAAGCTAGAATCAGAACAAGACTGAGTATAACCATAATTCAATAAACAAGAAGTGAGTTTTTGAAACCATTGTCTAGAGGCTGTTTAAGGCCATATAGACTTTTTACCAATTTGCAGACTTTATTAGAATTTGAAGGAATGTAACCAGGGGGAGGGGTCATATATATATCCTCATCAAGATCTCCATGAAGGAATGCATTGCTAACATCAAGTTGATAAAGAAACCAATTTTTGACAAAGGCAATAGCTAAAAGTAATCTAACAGTGGTAATTTTAGCAACAGGAGAAAAAGTGTCAGAATAATCAATGCCCTCATCTTGAGTATATCCTTTAGCCTAGTCTAGCTTTATACCTACCTAAGATTCCATCTGAATTGTATTTAACCTTGTACACCCACTTACAGCCAATGCAATGCTTACCAGGTGGAAGATCAGTAAGAACCCAGGTTTTAGTTTTCTCAAGAGCAGTGATTTCAAGTTGCATAGCTTCCTGCCAATTATGGTCTAAAACAGCTTGTTTATAAGACCTTGGCTCTTTTATTAGACTAATGGAAGCAGTAAAACAGGAATGTGATTCTTGAAGTCTATCAACAGACAAATGATTTGATAAAGGATGAAAGATGTTTCCAGATGTGATAGTCTGTGAATCAGTAAATGAAGCATTGGCCAAAGATGCAGGTAAAGAGTGTTTATAAATTTGTAGATAAGATGGAGGTTGTCTTGGTCTAGTGGACCTTCTGAGGGATGGATTTATGGTGGTGGTGGTATTTGTAGGAGGTGAGTATGTATTTGTAGGTAAGGCATTGTTTGAGAGTGGTGTAGGAGATGGTGGAGAAGGTTGATGTATAGCAGGCTGTTGTATAGTAGGTTGAGGTATTGTAGGATTTTCAATGTATGTATCAGGGGGAGGAAAAAGAGGATCAGTAAGAGGGTGGGTAGAAAATAGGTCTTTATAAGGAAACACAGACTTATAGAAAATCACATTTCTGGAAATTATTGTATGCTTGGTATCCAGGTTGTAAAGTTTGTAGCCTTTACAACCGAGAGGATAACCAAGTAATATGCATTTTGATGCTCTGTTGTCAAACTTTGATCTGTGATAATGAATGGTTGAGGCATAACATAAACACCCAATTGTCTTAAAATGATCATATGTGGCAGGCTTCTTATATAAAATCTCAAAGGGAGTTTTATTTTGTAAAACAGATGAGGGTGTTCTGTTTATTATATGCACAGCAGCTAGTATACAATCAATCCAGAAAATTAAGGGAAGATTGGCATGGAACATTATTGCTCTAGCTACTTGCAATAAGTGTTGATGTTTCCTCTCAACCCTGCCATTTTGTTGAGGGTTCTCAACACAACTAGTTTGATGAATAATCCCAGTTTGATGAAAAAAATCTTTCATGAAAAATTCTGAACCATTATCAGTTCTGATGTTTTGAATATGTGAATGAAACTGGGTTTTACCATATTATAAAAATGCATAATGTGATGTTTGGTATCAGATTTAGACAGTAATGGGTAAATCCAAGTAGTTCTACTGAAGTCATCCAATATAGTAAGAAAATATTTATGATCAGCATGGGATGGTATTGAAAAAGGTCCCCAAATGTCACAGTGTATCAATTCAAAAGGAGCAGAAGCAATAGAAGAGCTTACAGAATAAGGCAGAGCCTTTTGTCTAGAAAAATGACATATATCACATGGTGCATGATTGATTTCATTGGTTTTGTGTACAGGTAAAGGAAGCTGAACAAGTTTATTAAAAGGTAAATGTCCAAGTCTATTGTGCCAAACAGTAGCACTAGTATTATCAGAAAAAGAAGAATTACAAGAAAAGTTATGATTGTTGCTGTCAAGCTTTAGATGGTATAAGCCACTTTTAGCTTCAGCAAAACCAATCATTGTTTTGTTGTTCAACTCCTGCAGATTGCAATAAGTAGAATAGAAACTGATTTTACAGTTATTTGAAATAGTTAATTTTGAAACTGATATAAGATTGAATGTGAATGATGGGACAAATAAAGCATTATGCAATATGAGATTGGGTCCAAGATTTATGTTTCCCATATGACTTGCAATAGCAGTTTGACCATTAGGTAAATTCACTTTAATATGCACATGTTGAGGATATGATGTAAAAAGTTTGAAATCACACACCATATGATCAGATGCACCAGTGTCAAAGATCCATGTATATGAATGAAATAAGGAAGAGTTAAGTTGATTACCTGAATGCTCTGGATTTATGGCTGCATATGCAACAATAGGAGGATGGACATTTCCAACTCCCTGTTTGTTCTCAAATGACTTTTTAAACTCTAGAAACTCATGAAAGAGATTGTCAGTAAGGGAATATGTAGTGGAAGTAGTAACAGGTACAGGGGTATTAACAGAAACTGTTTGAGCTGGGTGAATAGGCACAGACACGGAGTTTGCAGAGTGATGGTCAGGGTGAATCCTAGGACCTCTAGGACCTTTCCAATAATCAGGATAGCCTATCACCTGATAGCATTTTTCAGAGGGATGGTTGTAGCCACAATGAGTACATTTCAATTTCTTTCTATCTTTATTGAAAGCTGGTTTACTGAAATTAGACTTAGAATGAACAGCCATGGCTACAGGGTCAAAAGTTTTAGGAGTGGTTGTAATGTTTCTTTGGCTTTCTTCTTGAAGTAACAAGGAATATACCTTGGACAAAGCAGGTAAAGGAGAAGAAAGTAAGAAGTGACTCCTCGATGATGAATAAGAATCATTAAGGCCAATTAAAAATTTCATCACTGAGTCATTCTGTTGGGCAGTGGTCATGCTATCAAAGATATTGCAAGTACAGTTGTTTAAAGCACCACAATGACATCGAAAGATAGGTCTATATGTAATGTACTCATTCCATAGGCTTTTGAAAGAGTTATAGTAAAGTGTGATAGACTGAGAACCCTGATCCATAGTACTCAAAGCCTTTTCATGTTGAAACACACGCGGACCACTAGATAGAGCATATCGGTTTTTGATTTCAACCCAGACATCATGAGCAACAGAGAAAAATAAAAGAGATTGGCGGATTTCCTTACTGACAGAGTTTAGAAGCCAAGAGAGAACAAGGTTGTTAGCACGTACCCAAGCAAGAGACTCAGTAGGATTCTGAGTAGGATTAGGGGCAGAAAGCGTACCATCAATGAATCCAAGTTTGTTCTTAACACTGAGAGCCATAGAGACGGCGCGTGACCAGGAAACGTAGTTCTCACCGGTGAACTGCTTGGCAAGGATCAAGGCACCAGGATTATCGCTGGCATGAACAAAGTACGGCGAGATCGGGTCATCAGTAGGGTTCGTCATCGAGACTTCGTAATATCCAGAAAAATCCAAAGATCTGATACAAGTCTACAAAGATCTGGTACAATATCGAAGAAATAGTACAGATCGGAGCAGATCGAGCACAGAACTACAGAATCGCCAGATGCGATTTACAGATCTACAGAATCGCGAGATTGCGATTTTCAGAGAAAACAAAAAATTAGAAAGCAGCGGAAAGATAGAATCGATCAAATAACCCAAGCGAATGATACCATGATAAAATCTGAAGTACAGATTTGAGATCTTAGAGAAAAGAGAAAAGAAAGAACACGAGAGATAAAAAGGAAAAACAACTTTGCATAAAATCTGAAAATGACAAAGTGGGAAAATGAATTAGGGTTTGACCTATTTATACTATGCTAAGAATGAGGACCTAAAATGCTACTACAACACTATTACATAAATGATAAAATGCCGTATTCTAACATTGTTGTCTAATCATAGCCTCGAACTCGCTGGATTCAGACAATGGGACTCGAATCTTGAGACCCCTTTTGAACAAGGGTTTCAAAATTGCCGCATTTTCGCCCGATTTCGATTACCTGTTTAAAGGTACACCTGCCCGGGAATGGTACAACCAGTTAATGCGTGGGAATGTAAATCCCGGCGAGGTTTGCTCTGGTTGGGTTTGCTGTACAAATTTGGTGGGATATATTTAGACACGGATGTGATCGTCTTGAAAAGCCTCTTTGGCTTGAAAAACGCAATTGGGGCTCAAACGGTCTATCGGGCCACGAAAATTTGGAGCCGATTGTATAATGCAGTGATGATCTTTGATTGTGGCCACCCTTTTCTGTACAAGTTCATTCAAGAATTTGCGCCAACTTTCGATGGAAATAAATGGGGTCACAACGGGCCTTACATGGTGTCGAGGGTTGTGTCGAGGGTGGCCGGGAGGCCCGACTACAAATTTACGATAATGCCCCCCATGGCGTTATACCCGGTTGACTGGAGTAAAATCAGGAGCCTGTTTGAAGGGCCCAAGGGCTCGAGCCACTCGAAATGGATGGTCGCCAAATTGAGGCAGATTATGAGCAAGAGTTTTGGTGTTCATCTGTGGAATAAGGAGAGTAGAGGGTTTGAGGTCCAAAAGGGCAGCATTATTGAGCACATGATGTTGAGCTATGGGTACAATTTTTCTGCAGAGGTTTAAAGGTTTGCAAGAATTCTCATTGCATTTGCTTTTTTTTTTGTTTTTTGTTTTTTGTTTTTTTCTCTTTCCATGTAAGTTATAATGTGTTGTGTGTTGATTTACAATTTAGAAGGTTTTTCTCCTTTTTTTTTTTTTTCAACAAGAAAT